TATCAGCTGCGCAGTAAACAATCAAATTTTAAACAGCCTGAACAGACCTTGTATTCTACTGGCCTTGACCGTTCCCATCAAAATAACCACCACCACTTTCATCACTCAGCATCATCACCATCCTCTTCCCAACAGCGTCTCTCGTGCGACGGTCGGCTGGGCGGCACAGCGAGGGAAGACATGTGTAGGATCTGCGGAGGACACAACGAAACGTGTACCCGACATGTTGGCGTTTTCCACACCGACCTGCCCGCCGCCGACCAGCCGTCGCCTCTGACCCGCGCCGGCGACAGATCTCCCAGTTAGTGTCTTTCATGAGTGTTGTTGACGAGTACTATTGCTGTGTTGTTGATGGGCCTTGTGATGAATGTTGTTGTTATAATGAGTGCTGTTAGGAATAAGTGCGTGGTGTGAATACTATTGATGACTGCTATTGTTTGTGTCGTTTGAAGTATTGCTGATAAGTATTGTAAAGGCTGGCATGGTTGAAGAGTATTGGCAGAAACACCCACTGTACGCCTAATGAACTCTATTGATACATGAAGCCTCTCAATCAAACTTTGCGTGTTTTGTTTTTATCACACTTCATCAACACGACAGAGATTTTCGCCGTTTATCTTGACGAGTGTTGTTGATGAGTAGGTTCTGAATTTAATAATACCTAAGTATTTTAGGTGAGCATTATGTTAGTGTCCATGATGAACACCGCTATAATAAGCTGTTATAAGCGGTAATCACAATAGATGAGTTGTTTTTTTTACGTTCATGTCACTGGCTCAAGGAAATAAAAGGCATTACACAAATGATGAGAATTATGTCAGGTCAGAATTTTGAATGATCATTATCTTCCTGTCTTGCTCTTGCCTCACGGAAATAATCCCCATCCCATATCCTTGGAAGCTGCGTAGGATCTTAAAGGCACGTGTATATTCGAATTTCCAAGGTGTTCCTCTTATTTCTAGCGTGTCCTGTAAGAGCTAACAAGTTGAGCAAGTCTAGCTGTGACGTGTGCAAGATTATAAAGCATGGGCACAAATATATCATCGTAGTTTTAGTATGTACTTAAAACCAGTTTGAGTTTTGACTAATGTTGATATATTAGATGTGTATATTTATTTCATTTATTTATTTTCAGGAAATTATGGTTACTATGAAGTGTCTTACATACCGAAGGGCGCGACCAACGTGAGGGTGAGAGATACTTCGCCAAACTTCTTGGGTAAGTTTTTTGTATGTGTGGCACGTACGAACGTACACACACGGACAAGGTCGTACCCTAATACATACACAGATAAAAATACCAAGAGCACACATACAACCAAAGCAAAACCATTAACAGAAAAGAGAGAGAAAAAAAGAGAAAAAAAACTGTATATAGAAAAAAACAAAAACAAAAAACGGCATAAATTCGCTATCTTTCGCACTCACTCAGACTGCAGCGAACCATAAAGGGGCGAGTGCAAATAAGGCAAGTCTAAGTGATAATCTCCCTTAGATAATTGTCCACTTTGTATCGCACAAGTTGCATGCCCTCGAGGCACTTAAAGCGGGCAAAAAAGTGATAAACAGCGTTGATTCGCCGCGTTTGGAGCGAGACAGAGCTAAATCATAATGACTAATTTGGCGTGTTTTTTAAATCAATTCAACTTTTATGTTATATTCTCAAACTTTTGATTCGGAATGTTTCGAGAAATACCGTGGTAAAGCACACCAAACCAGTTCGATGCGTTTAAAGCAAGATAATGCTAACATAATACTGACAACAAAATAGTGTTAAACTTCAGAAAACCGCTCTGGCTTGACGACCTCGAAGTAAAAAGTTCCCAGCTTTATTCAGTACAAGGGACTGTTAAATGTTCCAATAAGACGTTTTAAGCAAGATATCGCTCACCCATTCACCCCTACCGATCGGTCCAACCCACAAAAACAACACAGTGTCAAGCCACACCATGCTATTCCAGCGCATCGGGTCGTAACAGTCGTGGCCAGAGAATTGTTACGTGTCCGCGCCCGGCCCGTTGGTTTATTTACCTCTTGATATCGATCTGTTAACGAGCTCCTTTGTTGTAATGACTTCTCTCGCTCGACCAGGAAATGTCAATTAACGTTGGCCTGTAACTCGGTGGTGAATGGATGCTGATGTCCTCTGGCGTTAAGTTCCCAGGTTGTGTGTTAATGCGCTAGGAAACAAGGGGTGGTTTATGGCCCCGTGTGGATCGTTACTTGTTGAGCGCTGAGACTCGTGTCTCTCGTGATCTCTCGCGCTTTCTTTCTTCCATTCTTTTTGCGTCTTCTTTCTTCTTTCGTTAATTCTGTTTACTAATTTTTTCTCTTTCTTTCTTTCATTCTTTATATTTTCTTTCTTTTTCTTCTCTCTCTCTCTCTCTCTCTCTCTCTCTCTCTCTCTCTCTCTCTCTCTCTCTCTCTCTCTCTCTCTCTCTCTCTCTCTCTCTCGATTTTCTTTTCTTGTGATTTATTTTATTTTATTTTATTTTATTTTATTTTATTTTTTGTTTGATTTTACTTTATTTTGTTTTATTTCTTTCTTCTTCTTTTTTCTTTTCTTTTCTTTCTTTTCTTTTCTTTTGGTTCCTTTTCTTTCCCTTCCTCTTCTCTTCTTTTCTCTTTTCTCCTCTCCTCTTCTTTCTCTCGACAAACAAAAAAAATATTCAAAGCATTACAGTAACATACTAGACATTACTTAAAGGGGAAAATATATAATATTATCCAACATGGACAGACAGACAAACACGGACATACAAATAGATAAACACTTGCTTGTTAATGCATATAAACAAACACACAGCTCCATCCTTCAGCCAATTTTTTCGACTACCACTAACCTCTCACCCCCCCCCCCCCCCACCAGCGCTGAAAGCCGGGAGCAAATTCCTGCTGAACGGCGACTGGCTGATCGACTGGCCCGGGGAAGTGGACGCGGGCGGCACCCTCTTCACGTACGCCCGCAACGAAGACGAATCGGAGAGCCTCAGCGCCCTGGGACCCACCTCCGAAGACATCACGCTCATGGTAGGGTGGAAAGGCGGAGGGTCTGACAACGGGAGAGAGAGAGAGAGAGAGAGAGAGAGAGAGAGAGAGAGAGAGAGAGAGAGAGAGAGAGAGAGAGAGAGAGAGAGAGAGAGAGAGAGAGAGAGAGAGGGTGGTGGTCATGGTACTAAAGTAAGGGTATTGTTCAGATGGTTCATTGAATCATGTTCGTTGCAGGTTGAGCATGGGGGATTTGAGATTGTTACCTATTGTAATATATATATATATTTTTTGTTAACTTCATTCTTCGGTGAAATGAAAGGGGCTTTGTGAGGCCTGTGGCAATTCACAATAGATTAGGACAACTGCTAAATGAGGAACTTTTTTTAAATAACTCATGTACCATTGTTCAATTAGGTGTAGATGGTGGTATTCCAGAAGCCTAGAGTGTTGCACTGTAGAATGAAAATCTGTATATTGTGCGGGTTGAAATAACTTATCATGCATCAAAGGGAAACTCTCATTTACTCATAGTTATGATGAAGCAGAGTTAGGGTTTTTAAAAGACCCGGGGACTATTATGAGGATTGTTGGAACTCATAATAAGGTATTTAAAGAGGGTTTCAGTTGCTCATACTTAAGGTGACTAATGGTGATTAATAGGTATCACATGGAGGAGAATTGGCGGTTTTCCTGGTAAAATGCATAAAATATTTTATGAGGATATTAAGGAACTCATACATGTGAAACTGAGAGAGAGAGAGAGAGAGAGAGAGAGAGAGAGAGAGAGAGAGAGAGAGAGAGAGAGAGAGAGAGAGAGAGAGAGAGAGAATCAAGTGAGTGGGTGAGAGAGTGAGCGCGATCTTGCCCATATTCCTGAGCCTTTCCCTTCCGCCCCCAGGTGTTGCTCCGCGAACACAACCCGGGCATCTACTACGAGTACTGGACACCGAACTCCGCTTCCGGCGAGGCCCCTCCCGCCGTCGTCCCCCTCCCGTCCGCGACCTCCTCCTCCTCCTCCTCCTCCTCCACCACCACGCCCACGACCCCCACCCACTCCCCCGCCACCCCCTCGACGACTTCCGCAACCACCACGACCACGACGACCACAACGCCACGACCGGCAGTGTTGACGAGTGTGAACGTGACGAGGATCCGAAAGCCGCCCTTGAGGACGCCCCTCCGCCGGCCTCGTCCTCGGCCTCGCCCTCGGCCTCCGTTCCGACGTCGCCCCCCCTTCGCCCCCCACAGACGACCGCCCTCGCCCCCCAACCGCGAGGACAACGACACGTACAGACCGAAGAAGCCCATTAAGCCGTACAAGAAGCCCGTGAAGGGGAAGCCGAAGGGGGAGGCGAGCAAGGGCGGCAAAGGCAGACGGAAGAAGAAGAAGAAGAAGGAGCCCGAAGTTCCATCCTCCTGCGGGCCCTGCGAGAGGCCGCGGCGCGCCAAGCAGATGTTCTGCACCAGCGACTTCGGTGAGCCCTGCTGCGGGATGCGGCCCTGCCTCTTTTGTTAATGGCTTCCTGTGTATTTTAGGAGTCGTCATATATCATAACTATTTTGCACCAAAGTCATAAACAGCGTTAAAAGAAAAGAAGTCGCAAGCAAAGGCTTTGCAAGAAACATCTCATCTACTGTGTTTGTCTCACCCCTTTCCTGTCCCGTTTCAGTGTCGCGTGTGGAGGTGATCAACAGCGAGCCGGTGGGCGGAGAGCGCCGCTACGAGGTCCTCGTGCACCAGTCCTACAAGAACACGGTGCCGCTCCTCCACAAGGAGTTCCTGTGGGTGGACAACAACTGCCTGTGCCCCAAGATGCGCCACGGGCGCTCCTATCTGGTCATGGGGTCAACGGAGGTCACGCGGGGGCGCGAGGTGCGGCTCGTGCTTCGGAACGGCAGTTACGTGCGCCGCTACACGCCCCGGAACCTGGCTCGGATCCTGCGCGTCCGACACAACGAGATGCGCTTCTGCCGGCCGTGGCGGAGGGACCTGCGCTTCCTGCGGCCGGAGGACAAGGCTCTCAACGCCACCGTCGCCAACGCCACCGCTGACGACGCCAGCGCCGCCTCGGCCTCGGCGGCAGGCGCTTCGGCCGTGCTGCTCGTGGGCACGTAACGCCCGACTCCCTCGTGCGGCCAGGCGAGGCCCAGGAGCTCCCGGAACCGCGATGCGAGATCTTTTCCGTTTCGTTCTCTCCAGTCTTCTCTTTCGTTCTCTTTCTCTTCCACTTCTCTTCTTCCGCTTTTCCTTTTCCTGAAGTGTTGGAAAGATATAAAAATCCTTCAGGAAGCCTTTTTTGAGTTTCTTCCATTTTCCTTCTTTTCTTACCCAGGAGCTCTTCGGAAAACTACAAGTAGTCCTATTATATAAGGAGCACGAAATAAAACACTCACTGCTGAACTCACACTAAGGAATATGAAATAAAAGTGAAATGTAAAAAACAAAGACTCACGCCATATCTCACACGACACTGCCGAGCAAGATTTGGAGAAAAAGGAACAAATCCCGCGCCCGAGCACCTCCGCTGCAGCTTTTGCCAGTAGACGAGAAAGTGCTTGTTACTGAACTCTAGGCTTGGTTTTCTTAAGGATCTGAGGTGAAGGAAGGTGAGAGACACAGAGGCTTGAATGCAGCAAAATGCACTGAACAGGAGGTCGTAAACTTAGGTAATTGCATGGCCTTTTTCGGTGACTAATGGGTGGTGATTCAAGGATCGGTGACTGCTCAGAACAAACAAACACAAAGGGTTTACGAGGTGGCATCAACTCGCTTTTTTTTCTTTTTGAGAATTTACGAGCATCGACCTAATCTGACCATGGCGGAAAGCGAGAGACAGACAGACAAACAGAGTTGAGAGAGAGAGAGAGAGAGACAGAGACAGAGACAGAGACAGAGACAGAGACAGAGACAGAGAGAAAGAAATAAAGAAAGAGAGAGAGTTAGAGAGAAAGAAAGTAAGAATAAAAGAGAGAAAGACAGAGAGACAGGCAGACAAATAGAGAGAGAGAGAGAAAGTAAGAGTGAAAGAGAGAAAGACAGAGAGACAGGCAGACAAATAGAGAGAGAGAGAGAGAGAGAGAGAGAGAGAGAGAGAGAGAGAGAGAGAGAGAAAGAAAGAAAGAAAGTAAGAGTGAAAGAGAGAAAGACAGAGAGACAGGCAGACAAATAGAGAGAGAGAGAGAGAGAGAGAGAGAGAGAGAGAGAGAGAGAGAGAGAGAGAGAGAAAGAATATAACAGAGGACTAGGAAATACCACTAGCACTTGCCTCTCAGTGGCAAACGTTCTACTACTCAAAACGTCTATGGGCAGCCTGCAACGCTGAACATTGCAAACAAATAAACCCCAATAACATTCAACTGCCTGGCCTACTACCCTTTGGGCGAACATAACAGAACCAAGTGAACGAATAACAACTCAAGCCACCTTCAAGCCTCTGAGAACTGAAATAACGCAGCGTTATTGTGTGTTGGAAAATGTGTTTCTCCCAGTGGGATTTTTTTGGGAGATTTTACTTTTATTGATATTATTAAGGCTTTTGATCCGACTCGCATATTTATTTGGGGGAAAGTGTGTGTGTGTGTGCGTGCGATTATCTAAGAGTCGGTGAATGTTATTTATAGTGAGGTGAACACGGATGATGTGATGAGACACTAAATTGGCTGATAGATGTTCGCCGAAAAAGGAAACTTCTGAGAACAAAACTAGAAAGGAAAATGATATTTTATTTTTTAACTTTTTGTTTTATCTGACTTATATTACGACTTCTGAAAACTTTTTAAAAAAGGACCAAAGAATAGAGAGAAAAAAATATTCGTACATAACCTAATCCTATACGAGTGTTAGAACATCTCAACTTTCAAAAGAAATGAATAGAGAAGAAAATGCGACTGAAATGAGTTACTGTGAAAAGGAAGACTGAAGCGTGAACATGAAAATTATATACTTTAAAAAAACAAAAACAAAAACTTAAAAAAAAACATGAGACTTCGACCTTTGTGTAGTTTTGACTTAGTTGTGTAAATAGACAGTATAAACAAGGAAACTTGGTGTTGTAGAGTACGAGTTAATTTTTATACAGTAATGTAGGGGACACTTGTGACTGTGATACCTGTAAATAGCGAACTTAAAAGTTATGTGAGGTATTCTATGAGGAAAAATGAGTTGAATTTTGTGCATGACAAAGCGGATTTCAAAGCGCTTGGGTGAAAGAAATATCTAAACACGTTTTATGTGTTATGAAGAGAGAAGTTCGTTCCTTAATTCAAACACAATGAAAACACGACGAAGGAGAGTGGAAGACTGTGAATATTTTGTTTCTGAGAGTGAAGAAAATGCTTGGAAGAAAATGACGTACTGCGAAGAAGGAGGAAGAAACTGGAATAGAAAGGAGAGAGAGGAAGAGACAACTAATTCTTCCTATTACCTCACTCTCCCTTGTATTAAGCGTGCGTTATATGAAGCGGGTAAAGGCCACGCTATCAGATGGCACATCAGGTCATTAATTCACCCTCGTTGTAACGTAAACAAACAGCCAATATACTATATTATGTTGCCGTTTTCTTAACATCACAAAAGGGAAATTTACAAGAAAGCAAGGTTATATTTTTCATTTCCAAAACCATTATTCATCTCCCGACTGATTCATACGAAGACAAAAGGCAACAGATATTTCTAGCGTTGTGGAAAACACCTTATTCAGCTTGGTAATTCCGCCCCATGACAAGGTTTCTCCTACTCTCTAAACTTAGACACATACACATTCAAACGCACATACAAAGTCATACCCACACCCACACCCACACCCACACCCACACCCACACCCACACCCACACCCATACCCATATCCATATCCATATCCATATCCCCCCTTATATATATATATATATATATATATATATATATATATATATATATATATATATATATATATATATGTATATATATATATATATATATATATATATATATATATATATATATATATATATATATATATATATATGATATTCATGTATAATCTTACAATCTTACAGAAGCGAATTGGAATAATGCAACTGAATGGCTGGTCGGGTTCCCTTCTGCCCTTCCCTTTGAAACACAGTCCGACGAACATTTACCTTGGTAAATGTTGTTCTTCCTCTCCTTCTTTTCTTCCTCTTCCGAGAAAGTGTCTCCTTCCACGAAGCGGTGTTGATATAGAGGCATGAGATGAACGAGGGCGAGTGTTTTATGGTGCGGAATGACTCGCAGAGAGAGGGAGTGTGACTAAAAGTGAGAGGGAGTGAGGGAAAGGGAGGGAGAGAGAGAGAGTGGGAGAGAGGGGGAGAGAGAGAGAGAGAGAGAGAGAGAGAGAGAGAGAGAGAGAGAGAGAGAGAGAGAGAGAGAGAGAGAGAGAGAGAGAGAGAGAGAGAGAGAGAGAGAGAGAGAGAGAGAGAGAGAGAGAGAGAGAGAGAGAGAGAGAGACCGACACAGAGAGAGAGAGAGACCGACAGAGAGAGAGAGAGAGAGAGAGAGAGAGAGAGAGAGAGAGAGAGAGAGAGAGAGAGAGAGAGAGAGAGAGAGAGAGAGAGAGAGCGAGAGAGAGAGAAAGAGAAAGAGAGAGCAAGAGGGCGAGCGAGAGAGAGAGAGCAAGAGAGCGAGAGAGAGAGCGAGCGAGAGAGAGAGAGAGAGAGAGAGAGAGAGAGAGAGAGAGAGAGAGAGAGAGAGAGAGAGAGAGAGAGAGAGAGAGAGAGAGAGAGACAAAGACAGAAACTGAAAGAAAGACATAAGAGAAAGAGAGCAAGAGGTACGTGGAATAGCGTTGTCTTCGGCGCACAAATTACCCGCAAGATAAGTCGGCTTTGCGGTGTGTCCCTCATAACGGCGTTCGTTGAAGAGGCCAAAGCTCATGTTACTTTGAGCGCAGATATCGGCGAAAGGAGAGAAAGGGAAATGGGGAAGGGTGGGAAGAGAGGAGGGAGGAGTGAATCGGAGAAAGAGAAAGAGAAGGGGGAGAGGGAGAGAAAGAGAGAGAGAGAGAGAGAGAGAGAGAGAGAGAGAGAGAGAGAGAGAGAGAGAGAGAGAGAGAGAGAGAGAGAGAGAGAGAGAGAGAGAGAGAGAGAGGAAGAAAGAGAGAGAGAGAGAGAAAGAAAATGAGAGCGTTCCAACAGCACCCTAACTTATTCTGACGAAAGCGGATGTTTATTTGGCTCTGTAGAAAAAAATACTGTAATAAAAAATGAAAAAAAAATCTGTAATCGTAGAGCGCCGAGTGAAGGCGCAGTAGAACACACAACACTGTTTATAGTAATAAAAACATAAAAATTAATTTCCTTTCATTTTCCAAAAATATTTATGAGGAATTAAGAGAGAGAGAGAGAGAGGGGGGGGGGGAGGAGAAGGGGAAGGAGAGAGTCAGAGTGAGAGAGAAAGAGAGAGAGAGAGAGAGAGAGAATCCAACGAAATGCGTAAAACCAACATTTTCGACTCAAAAAAAAAAAAAAAATCCGAAAGGCACGTTTTCCAATAAAGATATTAACCCAAACAGCCAAGTTAATCCTCGTGTTTACCTTTTGCCACAAACACTAACCACAAACTCTCTCTCTCCCTTTAAAGTTGTTTGTGGTTGCAAGAACTTGAATTATACCATGAGGCACAACTTACCGATTAGTTAAGGTAAATTAAGAAACATTATCTCTCCCACGACTCCAGAGTTTAGAAAAAAAGAAAAAAAGAGAAATATAACAAGAAAAAGGGAGGAGAATAGAAAACGGAGCGCTATTTTTTTTTTTTTTTTTACTCTAAGACACGGTGTAAGAAAATATCCCGGTGAAAATAACATTAAATTTCCAAAAGCCGTTTTAAGAGGAACACATATATGGGAGTTCATAATAGTCTTTATATAATGTGAGACGAAGATAAAAAAAAATGTGTGGGAGGAGGGGGTACGGGGTAAGCGAAGCGAGAAATTATAATTAGAAACACGGTCGCGGAAATAAAGCTGTGAAAATAACGAAGAATTTTATACGTGGGAAAATATATTTAACGTAATCTTTTACAAATTAAAACATCTATAGGAGTCATAATGCTAAAGAAAATGTTATTTTAACAGTAATGGTTATTCTTACGTTGATATTGAAATAGATATTATCAATAACGATCTTGAAAATAATGATAATGATAATGAGATCTATAAAGATTATAATAATAATGACGACAACAACACCATCAATAATAATAATGATTATGATAATAATAATGATATTGATATTGGTAATGATAATAACAATACCGACAATCATAATAATGGTAAGAG